TATTTATATGAGTTCATTAAGTAACATTTGTTTTGGTTAAATTATTGTTATTGCTTTTTAATTACAGGTTAAGGCCCAAGGAAAATAAAAATAAACGCATGTACGCATAATTAAGTTATTATAAAATATCTTGGAAGGAAATATTCTTCTTTCGTGTTAGGTCGTCTGAAAAGTATTAACAAGAAGCTTATCTTGCGAAAACTGGCACCAAAAGTTTTTCCAGCATGCTGGCAAGTGGCGCAAAAGAAAAAATCGAACGATAATATTGTACTTACATCTTGAATCGATTCATGCGTAAAATATGTTTAGATCTACAATTAATTAGATCTTTAAATACCTAGATCTCTATCATTGAAAACCAAGAGGGAAAAAAAAGGTGAGGTTCAATAATTTTTTACGAAAAACCGGTTTACTCCAAAAAATGTTTACTACATTTCCTGTATTTTCTCTCGCTAACCCATTTTTCTCATACTTCTAATAGAATAAGAGACATTGCATAGCATAGATGGTGGTAGTGCTGTTTAGCTATTATCTCTTGTGCTTTATGATGAAGCCGAAGGTTCTTTTAATCAAAAAGCAGCCTCCACCTTGTAGTCAATCTTTTTAATGCTCGTAGCAGTTGCAATTTTTGTTATTTGTGATCTACCTCAGCGAAAGCAGAGCGTTACAGCCATCTAACTGCATAAGTGCACGTGTCAGAAACATTTGACTTTATCTACGGTGGTAGTAATAGTTGTGCTCACTTGCTCAAGCGCTTTCAATATCTCATCCTGTCCGCCTTTCGTAAGCTATCATCATTCAGGAACACTTGCACAACTATTCTGCAGCGCAAACAGTGGAGAGAAAGAACGCAAAGCTACGTGAAGTTAAAAATAATTTTTGCATTTGAAAGCGTCAGAAAGCTTGAGAAATCCTAATAGACCAAACCCCTTTTGCTAAGCAAATCGGTAAATATTTTATTATACTCCTGGTGAATTCAGCATAGATTTAATGTCAAATAGCATAAACACATTCACATTCGTAAGCTTTTAAAGCAAAGCATTAATCTGCGGAAACCAAGTGTCCATATCTTCATGCTTCCATTAAATCTATTGATATCCTGGGAAATAGAATGAAAACCTATTAATCCGTTCACATTCTTTTAATCAAACACTTCTGCATAGGGTGGATAGGATGAGAATATTGAGTTGAAGGCACATACGATCATAAATAGGTTGCAGGTCTCTTCATGACTTCATAAATGAAAAATTCAAATTTACCTAACATCTGAAGACGTAACATGTGTTTTAATGAACGACCGTCATTCAACCGTGTTATCCAAGGACTTTAGTTATTAAAATTTAAGTAATTGACTAGAGTGAACCGCAACAGTAGATCTATACAATTTGCACCTTTTCCGCCACCTGTCCCTCTCGCCCTCTTTGTTTTTGTGATCTCATAAGCGATATGTTGCTATTGGATATTTCTAGCTTGTGAGAAAATTCTACTTTATTAGTTCTTACAAATATATTTGCAGTTGTCTTTTAACATTTCCTACAATCTTTTCAATTTGGCCATCAAGGAAAATGCTTGAAAAGCGAAATAAAAAACGAAAGCACTTTCTCTCGCACCTTTCCCTCAATACGTGAGGATGGATGTTATCAAGTATTTATGGCACTACACCAAATGACATCAAGACTGATTAATAGTCTTCGGAATCAAGTTTTCTAAAAACACTTGAGAAGGCCGTTTAATAACTTTCTTATAAATGCCTTCGTTAGTCTCAATATTTTCCCATTTTGCATTATTAAGCGGACGTTATTTATTTATATTTTTAATTTACATTTACAGTAGACTATAACGAATAAAGCTCACTTCAGCCACTGCATGATATTCGGATTAAAAAGGAAATTAATTAAAATTTTACCTATAAAACCACACATTTGTAATTAACATATGTCATACAAAAGCATTTCAATTAAAACACTTAAATATGCAAGCAAAAGTCATGATAACTATCCCGAACGCCATTTGCAAGAAATTGCAATTGACGGTAGTAAAGTTCCCTGGCACAGGTGTATATATTGTATTATATGTGAGAGAAATTTCTGCAACTACTGACGGGAAATTGGAATGCTTGACGAGTTTCATAGAATTTTTAAATAAGAAAAAAAACAAAAGAGAAAAAGAACTCTACTCTCACTTAACTGTATATATATGTTATGATGTATAAGCAGATGTCTGAAAGAATAAATTTTTACATACGTGCGGTTTCATGTGCAAGCATTCGTTTACTTTCCATCAGCAATAATCAATCACATATCAATTGTTTTCTGATCTTGACAATGCATTCAACAAACATATTATTGCCGCGTATGTAATTCAGATCAAAAACAATATATATGAAAGAATCTCAAACATTTCATCCAAAAGCATTAATAAAAATTAAAAAAAAGCCAGTTTCGTGTGGAAAAAGCGCGTATGGGGAGGGGGAGAGGGAAGATTATAATGGGCCACTATCTATCATTAGATTCCCTACTTTTCAAAATAAGGCGTTATAAGGAGAGTGATCGAAAAAGTCGTCTGATCCAAACGTCAAATCTTCGATCTGTACGATGAACACAAGAAAACGAGACAGACAGACAGAAAGGTGGACACACAGACAGACAAGCTTAAATCGATTTAGAAAACGATTCATTAATCGATTCTGAGACGATCGGTGTAATAAAAGATGAGTCTGCCTCAGGTGCTTCTGGATGTTGCTTATGTCCGCACAGATTAATCTCCACTTGTACCACAAGCAGTGTGCGGTATAATAAATTTTTAATTTCTTACTATTAATAATATGGCATATGATGGTATGATTGTTTCATTTATAGCAGTATCAAGCCTATCTTCTTCTTCTTTGTCTTGACTGGACTATATCTTATCCCTTTCAAGGTAATCTTGCACCAACAGAATTGAGATATATCTGCCTTTTGTTATATCACCTTTTCCAGAATAATTTTCTGAATCGACGTAAGGGTGTCTGCCTGTCCATCCCTTCGAAGTCTCATGCAACTTCTAGTTGTGAAAAAATTCTTCTATAAAAAAGTTTTCCATTACTTACTACCTATCATATCCTGCAGCTATCACCAACCGTTTATTTAAATTACAATGCACAAGCCTATCGCACAATTCTTCATTTGATAAAAGGTCTTGCTCGCATAATTACTCTACATTATTAAAATTTCTTGAAAGAAAATCGATAACAAATAGTCTTCGCAAAAGGTACTAAGCGAGTCAGCAACACCTGACTGGCCGTGAAACACTCACTGAATTACAAATAATATCTTGGTGTATGAAATATGTATGGATAATTTCGATGGAAATGCGACCTCTCTGAAGGCCCGTACCAAAACGGCAAAGAACCTTTCGATAATGACAAGATCCAATTTTAATATTTTACGATAGATACATAGTCAGAATAGTGATGGGTTTCTGCGTTAAATCCCGATCAGGTGGGGTGCGTTTTGGCCCCTCCTTTATAAGAATTTTTCGAAAAGTCTTCTTTATATCATTGCGTTTGGTAATCTTGATTAAATTCTTAACTTTTTTAACTATAGGAGACTACGTAGTTTAGAATACTTAATGGACAGTCCTACCCAACTGTAATGTCTTGAGTTGTTATAGCATCATTTTGTTTGATAATTTCCATCGCATGCAAGCAGTGTTATTCAGTAAGAACCAACAAAAGGAATGAAATATAGCTGCCAACTTCTTCGCGTCATAGTCGAACTAAGATTTTTATTGAGCTCATTTGTCATAAATCATTTCATTGGGTTCTCTGTGTTACAGACAGTGACCAACTGTAGCTCGAAAGTAAAGGAATCAAGAAAGATACGGAGGACAATGTCACGTTCCACCCATTAACGTCCGTGTTTTGTAAGAGAAATGTAAGCGAAAGGTGAAGCAAATCCGGATTCAGAATTCTTATGAAAATGTGGCACGCGTACCTAGTCAGATTTGCTTAGAAAGAGACCCCTTCAGAACTTTCAGAACTAGTTAGTCATTTATCTAATTATTAACACGTTTCTACATTTCTCTTATCAAAATACGACTTTTTGTATAAATTTCGCAAACATATTCCCCAGAATTGTTAAACACAGCATCAAACTTTAAAAGGCTCTTCATATTATATGCAAACCATGCTTTCATTTTTATAATTCACAGGAGCACTCTCTCTCCCTACTCGCACACTTATGTAAGCCACATTCATATTTGAGAACGAAACCAATTTATGATAAATATTGTTGTTTGTTTTGGTTAAATTAATTCGCATAATGTAAAATTATTCACATAAACGCAGACTCATGTGTGTAAATTTACATTGTTGTCGTACACATTTTTCCACTTGAATCTTGTTAGGCATTTGCGAACGTGTACTCATGCATTGTCGAGGGAGTTGTTTAATGAAAAATACAAAATTAATATCAAAGTCGCATAGAATCGTAAATGTTAAGAGCAAAGAGGAAAGAGGGTAAACACATTTATTAATAAACAAAAAAGAAAAGAGGAAAAATGTCACAAATGCTTTTTAGAACCGTTCTAAAGATTCTCAACTAAAAGTTTACTTGAGTATGCTTTTTTTTTTTTTTTTTAAGCTAATTGACTTTCTTTTTCGAAATTTTAATGAATTTTCGTAATTAAAAAAAAAAGTCACGAAAGTGTTCTTTAAAAAAAATTCACCACTTCTGGTCTTATTTTTGGGGCCATTGAGAAAATGTATGAATTTCCAGCAAAAGAACAATTTCATGCAAGGTAAAAGCAAAGTAAGCCACGATTGTTTAAATTTCCGCTCAACAAGCTAATTGTGTCGAT